ACTCTACCCAGGGCAACAGCTTGAGACTCTGTCTCCAAAAAAAAGGTATATTTTCTTGAGATAACTTCATAAATAGGTGAAATTTATCACTCATTTCTAGGTAATTAGAATATGGGATAAATAATATAGTAACGCAATGCCAAAATTAATAAATTACTAAGACTGTGGAATAATATCCAGCTTTGTATTGTATATCTTAATGTTTTAAATAGTTCATTCTTTTTGTATTGGGTTATAAAGTTGTTACTTAATCTATAATTGTTCAATTTACAGTTGGGCATGAGCCTGAACATTGGTCTGTCTATAGAAGATACCTTGAATTTTATGTACTTGAATCAAAACTAACAGAATTTCATGGTATGTTGTTCGTTTTGGATAAGACATTATCTTTTAGCATTAGTATTTTTAGAAGCTGTCATACCAGTTAATTTTTTAAAATAATTATACCAAAGAAATTTAACAGTGACAATGTGTACCCTTTTATTGGTAATAGAAGTGTACCGTTTTTATCTTCTTATTTTTGCTTGTCTATATTTTTAAAGATTTTATAATATACATTCATGCATTTTTAAAAATTAAATTAAAATTAAAAAAATGTGTATTCTTTAACTGTATTTAAATTTTACTTTGGTGTAGCAGAGAATTTAAACCAGACGTATCAGAGTTGCTTGGTTCTTTTACCACTTTTTTTAGTAAACAAGTTTGCTCTGCATTGTGGCACATGTCTTGATTAGTTTTTAGATTTTGATATGCAATAAACTTTTGGTTGAATTTTTTTTTTGAGAGAAAATCTACTGGGAAAAAAGAGCAGTCTTTTTAGTTCTTCCTCTTCCTCTCTAGTCAATTATTTAATTGATGTCAGGGGTAGAGTGAAGTATTTCCAGACATTTTGTATATAGGTTGATGAGTTCTATTTGTGTGTTCTGAATCCCTTTTATTTTAGGAAAGCTCTGTGGAGTGTCCCATAATCCAAACCTCAAATTCAGGTTGATTCTGAATTGAGAAGGGCAAGAAACCTTCTTTACCTGCTGTGAAGCAAAGCCTGTGATAAAGTGATGGTTATAGGAAAACAAGAATGCAGGGCACCACTCCATAGTTTTTGTCTGGAATTTGTGTTTTTACTTCAAATAGTTTTCTCTTTCTCTCTGCCAGTCTGGTACAGTACCATCCTTGTCTTGTTCTTTATCTGAACTTTTGTTTGAAGCCGAGAGAAGATTATTTATCTCCATGCTTTAAAGTTCTGGATCAACCAAAGTTGGTTGGGTTCCCAACATTATTGTTTTCTTGGTTTTTTTGTTTGTTTGTTTGTTTGTTTTGAGATAGAGTTTCATTTTGTCACCGTCGGTATAGTGCTGTTGTAGTGTTATAGCTGATAGCACCCTCAAACTCTTGGCTCCAGTAATTCTCTTGTCTCAGCCTTCCAAGTAGCTGGGACTGTAGGTACCTGGTTATTTTTAGAGACAGTTGTCTCGCTCTCGCTCAGGTGTGGGCTCAAGCTGTCCACTTGCCTTCACCTCCCAGAGTGCTGGGATTACAGACATGAGCCACTGCATTGGGCGATTGTTCTTTTTTTTTTTTTTT